TTTTTCATTACACTCTAACCCGACTCTACCCGGCCCCGGGGATCGAACCCGGGACCTCTCGGTCCTGAAATGAGCGGCGAACCACTGCACCACAGGATCGGTGGAATCAGAGTCTAAAGCAAACAGCTTTCAACGCTGTCAGCATCTTCAAAGCTACATAGAGCTTAGAATCATTTGACGCTTAAACTAGTGTAGTCTTGCACAAGATCCACGTATACAGCATCTTAATGCATTAGAAAAAACTGCGGATTCTAGCAGCAGTGCGCACGTAACTGCACGACACCCCTGAGTCTGTCTGGACATTTCACGGAATCCCAAAGCCCAAGAAGATGATATTAGCAGCGTATTGAAGCATCACCTAGTCGTTTTCTAAAGAGCTTACCCCATTAATCTTATCCTCCACGAGGTACAACAGACTCAATGTTTATACCTTTTGTACCTCTCGGTCGAAAGAGATGAGGTCACACACGGTGTATGTGTTTGCTTCTGCTAGTTATGAAGCATCTGTGAAGGCCACTGCATTGCTTGGTCGCTGAGAGGTACCTCATTTTACCATTATCTTATCCGAGGTTTGTCACATTTGGAGCGCTCATCTCGTGGCTTGCTCTGCGGTCAGTGTTACACTCACAACTTCCTCTAAGCCGGATGAGTAGAAGTGAATAGTGTTCGCGCGAGCCGAGCCCGCTAGGAGATCCTAAACGGGACCACTATCATCACCCGGAGAGAGTCACCATCTCCATTGTCAAAGTTTTCATACATGCTTCCTCTGACCGATGAAAATAAGTTTCATCCTCCGGCAAGCCTATCTAGGGGTGATAATACTCGCATCTGTCGCTTAACTATCGTCCATACTGAAATATTTTTCGTTTCAAATTTGTCGCTCACAAGTGTTCATTAATGCACGCAGAGTTCTTGTTAAAGGTTGCTTGGCGTAATGCGTTGGTGCTCAGTCTGAGCCAGTGTCGATGTCATAACTTTCCAAAATGAGGTTTTCTTGTCCGAGCTCTTAAAGGCTTTAGCCGCATTGTTCGATGAGAAGACGAGGCGTTTCCTGATGAAACTCTGTCAAAGCGCCAACTCATGTCTCGACATACCACCTGAGCGTTTTTGCAGTCCAAAAGCTGCATTCGAAGGTCAAGAGTTTATGACGTTGTTCACGCAATCCAAGAGCTGAAAGACTCCCTTATTGATATGATGGTACACATCTTCATGTGAACAATGCGAGCCTTCTTTCGTGAGCGCACACTGTATGACCTGGCCAAGAAAATGTCGAGGTGACCAAGCTCATGGGCCAGGAGGATCAGACAGTCTGTGAGTTAGAAACATGCGCGTGATCGGTACCACATCGTTTAGAAAAGCTTGATCACATGAGTAAGGTTGTGAGAAGTGGGGGGCCGTCGTATGATAGTAAGAGCACCAACAAGATCCCACGAAAGTATCATCTTGCAAGTCAGTGGAGTAGAATAACCTGAAGTGTTTCACTTCTGCTGTTGTTATACGTGCGTGAGTTCCTGGCACTCACAGCTGAGTCTGAACATATCCTGGCGCCATCATCGCCTCGGGTCATCATTGCAAGCTCAACGTCATGGTCAGGCTCGTCTTCGACTAAGACAGCTCGATGGGTAGGCAGCATAGGAGGACCGCTCAGCCGAGCTTTGCTTTCTTTTCAATTCTCATTTCCCATTGTACCAGCTTTTCAACAGATGGGTGCACGTGCGTAAGGAGGTGACGTTCGGCAATCGTCACACCATCAAGCCCCAAGATATGATCTTAGCGTCATGGCTGCGCTTCTCGACTTTATTGTTTGGCGACGACGACTGGTAACGACGGTGACGTCGAGTGTAACATCTCTGAGAACGATCTCTCGTTCTCAAGTGTTTGTATGGTGCTTATGGCCGAGGAGACCGACAAATATGGAAATGTAAATGCCTAGGTGTCTGGTGAATGAATGCGATTTGTTACGATTCTTTAAGTGTAAGATGGTTTCGGCCATCAGGAAGTGACCCCAGCGAGCGAGATATTGCGAAGTCGAGCGAGGGATTGATGCATTTGATAGCTCTATCAGTTTCCTTCGAGTGTGGTTGAAATATTAGCTCTAACGACAAATATTCTACCGCTGACGAAGGAGGCAGAGGGATTGAGGAAGACACGACTGCTGATGATGCCACAGTCTGTTTCAGCGTGTTGTGGTTTCCGAAGTCGACCCAAGCGTGCTACTCGCGACCAAAAATCGTCAGAACTCGAAAATATCCTGCTTGGAGATGCTGTTGAGTTGCGTCCGTCAGGATTCACTGCGCATAGCGCTATCGGGGTACAAGGGCTATGTGATGTTTGTAAATCTGGCATCCACCATTTTCAGGAAGACGGCAGCCAATGTCAGGATACCCAACAGCAGACGCTACACAATGCGTTTCAAGCACGCTGATCTGCGGTGCATGACCGATCCTGAAGTGATGGCGTCAATAAGAGCCCAAATTGTTTATATAAGAATTTGAAGTATGGCAATGCCAAGAAGAGCTCAGACTGTTGAAACGATGTGGGCGCACAGTACCGTCGGTCAAAAGCTCATCATTCGAATCAGGGCAATTCGAAATTGGCAGCGTCTTGGTTTTAATTTCATGAAAACATTGGTAATTGTACCGCCAACATCGCCACTTTAAAAGCTGCTGGCGACATCGGATGAGCTAGGGCTCACTGATTACGACAGAGATATCAATACTGCATACCCGAAAGCTGAGTTAGATATCGAGTATTTATTTGGCAAATTGCAACAAAAGTTCCGTATGAAAGCCAAGGCCAAGCTTGCGTGGTGAGGAAATTCTGTAAGATTTGCAGCAGTCTGGCAGTGAGTGGAAATAAGAGGTCGATATTAGTTTCTCAAGCGTGACTCCCAGGTGCTCCAAAGAGTCATGCCTCTGTGAGCTGGAAGGCGAGTACATCGTGTTCGTCTTGGCCTACGTCGACGACATTCTCTGTGTCAAAACGACTGATTTAAAGAAAAAATCGAGCTCTGCAACGACTTGAAAGATGCCTCAGGCGAGACGAAATACGGTGAATACCTCGAAGTTGAAGACTAATGCCATCTTTATACCTTTGCGTAAGCACACTCGTAAATTTTTCGTTAGTACCTGCACAACGATATGAAATCTCGATAGACTAGTGTCAAACTTGCCTTAGCCACTGCAGGCGACAATTTTGACTCGAGTTTTGATTAACGTGACGCGTTGGGTTTGCACCTTGTGATGCGTACTCGCTCGGTTAGCTGAGTAGCTTTGCTGGTGAGCCTTTGTCGATGCACGTCGGTTTGGTCAAGCGAGTGCTTGATCAGAGACGAATCATCAACATCTTCATGCTCTATCTTATCAATACTCGTCAAGTTATTTTTTGGTCTATAGACAACCTTCTATCGCTATATGAGTTATCGGCTATATGTTGTCTAGTCTAGATAATAAAGTGTAACGAAGTGTATTGGAACCAAAAGGTGGAGGCAGTTCCAACGCGTCGTTTCGTCCAATGTTGGGAATCAAGCCGTTCATTCAGGAGACTGTGCAAGCACTTTCTCCATCCGAGTTACGTTTATTGGCCGAAACGCTACGGATTGACCTTCGAGGATGTGAAAATCGCGAAGATATCGAGCGAGTGCTTACGAGTCTCGTGTGTCTGGATCAAGAAACTTCGCTGGGTACTTTTCTCTCATGGCTTCGATCTGCTACTTCCCAACAACAGAACATTAAAATGATTCTGAGTAGGAAATCTCACTTTACCAACACTTTCATACCAACAACTACAGAGACAAATAGTCAACAGTCTGATTCAAACGAACAGGTGGAAGACTTGCACGTGGATGACGAAATAAAGCAGCAATTAAATGAGCTCGAAGTCATTGAGGCGTCGTTTAAAAAGACTGAACGACTCGTGCATACAGGATCGCCTAGCTTTGAAAAGCTTAAACAATTTCTAATGGAGCTCGCAATGCTTCGAGGAAAAGAACAATCGATGAGAGTGTTTCTTATACGACGAGTGCATACTTTGCAAAAACAATATGATCATTTACAAGATCAATTGTCGCACTGCCGAGCTCAATTAGAATTCTTTGTAGAAGGATTTACAAACTTGCGAAAGCGACACGATGCTCTATTAAACAATGCGATTCGAATGAAAGCGGAGAACGAGACAGCGCAAGAATTATTTATCGGAATGAGTGGACATGACTGCTACTTTGAGCTTTTGATGCATAATACACTAACGAACCAAATGCAAAGAATTGACAAAATGAATCGTAAGATAACCGAAGCGGAGAATAGTCTTGAGTCAGCAGCTGAAAGGTGTAAAAAATTCGAGGCTCAAATCTCAAAACTCAAACATGAACGTGGAGACGCACGAAAGAATGCAATTTGCCTCAAACGGCAGCTTCGGGTCTGCAAAATGCATTTGAGGCGACTTCAAGGAGGGATAGATGGATTATACTTTCGTGATCAAGCAGTAATTCTACGTCAAAGTGTTGCAACTCTCGTTGGACTGTTACGTGAGGCGGTAGAGAAAGATACAAAGTCGCCGAAGCAGATACTCAGCAAAGAAGTTTTGAAAGTTCTGTACCAAGTTTTGACACCAACTGATCATAAACTTGCGTTTCAGAATGAGTTGTCGCTTCGAGATGGAGAAAATATAGATCTCAAACAACCGCGAGTGATTCAGCGACAAAGGTCCGTCGATATTGACGAAGTGATAAAAGGGGTCTTACTAGTAGAAGTAGGTACGTCAACGTATGGCGGGGAGTGTGCGAAAAAACTGGGCGAGAAACTAAACTACTTGCCTATTGACTTGGAAAAAGCGCTTGTTCAATTTCAGCAGATTGAGGAAGAAAAAATTGGAAAGGAACAGGACGTCGATTTAACGTCCGACAGTTTTCAACTACTTGAAAACGAGAGCTTGCCAATTACGATCAGAGCTCCAGCACCGTCTCTTGAGGCTTACAATGATACACTCCAAAAGCATATTGTAAATCTTATGACCACACAAAGCAAACGAGGATTTGTCCTGTTTAATTGGCCTTTCTCCACGCGTGATGTGAACTTACTTATTGCGACTGGTTTGTCGGTTGACTGCGTTATTATTCTTGAATCGTTGTCAGCAGATACTCTCAATCTTCAAGGCTTGGGGTGCATCATGCACTCAATTAAACCCACAACATTTACAGCTGATCGAATGAACGCTGTGCTAGAGATTCTAGAGCAGCAGAAACGCCACAAAGTTGCTCCTGTTGTGCATTGGGACGAACTTACTTGTTGTAACAACGAAAGGCTTGCTTTGTGGACTGAGGAAATTCATATGCTTTGCCATCTGGAGCAAGAAAAGCGTAAACAGAAGAGTTTACTTGAACCAGCTGTCGGCTTCAAACTTAACACGACTACTTCAAAAAAATCAACGATCAAATCCAAGAATCCAACGCGCAGTTTGTCCAAAGCAAAAGAAACTGTGATTACTAAAGGTCGACTAGCAAAAAAATGATGATTGATAGACCAGGTTATGGCTTAACGATGCGTTTGTGGAGACTTATGTAAAACATTAGTGACCAGCAATCCCCTGAATTAAATGATACTTGAGTACGGCTTTTCATCCTGCATATGCAAATTAAAGGATGATGAGATCGAATCTAGCCATAACCTTTTTCCACATGTCGTCTATTCAATGCTCTGGCAAATATCAAAGTGTAAGTCAAAGCGTATCGCCGAATGGTCTTCAAAACAGAGGCAACAAGGCATTAAAATTCAGTCGACAAGTTAATTTGACTTGTTCACCAGCCATTGTAACAATAATATCTTTGCTTGATAACTTTATGCTCGAAACTTGTTGCTGACCAAGTTGAATTTTTTGACAGCTAGTATTCATTATGCGATGCGTCTAATCTAAATCGCTTCTATATCGACGTCAACTCCATCGTTCCAATCAATAAAACCACCATTGTCCTGCAGATATCTATGCTCCTTTAGATTTGTGCTCGTTTAGATCAGCATAACAACTCAAATTACTAAAACGCCATCGCTTTTGTAATTAGAATTGATCTTTCCACACTCGGCAATTAAAATTAGCCAAAGCAAATCCACAGCCATCTCTGTATTCAATTTTCATTAGGACGGCGATCCCCAGCAAGCAACTCTGCGCCGGATTGGCCTAGTGAATCTGTAAAGTATAAGCACTTAAGCTGTTGAAGCCACCGATCGACTATTCGGAGGACTCAAAACATGGCTTGAATCGCAAAACATCTTAGATATCGATTTCGACGGATGATTGCCACAAACTTCACTAAAAATCAACAAAATGCTCAGTCACGATAAGTCTAGTCGGTAACAAATTTTATTACGTGGAAATTCTACTGTTGTATCAATTGCATAATACATGGAAGCTACAACACTGACGTATAGCATAATCGTGTTGTCTTCAGTCTCTACAAAAAGGTAGTGTACACTTGTTGTTCGAGCTTAGCGCGATAGAGGTTGCAGCTATTTAGTTAATCGTCGAGTACTGACATAGAGCTGATTGGACTAATACTCAAAATAGTGACTTGATAGTAAATTAGTCCATTGATAAATATGAGTATGTGTTCTTTTTAGTTCAACTGCCACTTCAATATCTACTTTCGCGCAACATTTAATATTCATTACATCAAAAATGGCCGAACCACCTCGTGTCGGATCCTCTTGTGCGCCTCCGTCCGTTGACCCTAGCGTCTTCGCTGCATTACCGCACGATATTCAAAACGAGCTTGTCTCTGTACACAGCTCTAACGATGTTACTTTACCTCCAGCTAGCGCAAGTTACACTCCTGATACGACTGCAAATGCTTGGACTTGTCATGTCTGCACGTTTCTTAATCATCCGGAGCTTGTTGAGTGCGAAATGTGCGGCACCTTCTGTATCTCCATCACAGACGATATCGATGTAGTGCAGGATGTAGGTTCACCAGGATCAAGTCTGGGACGTCAACTTCGTAAGCTTCGTCTACCTTCGTCTCCTGTTTCTATCAATTTCTCACAGAAACGAGAACCTACCGCTGAAGATTTATTAGTGGCAGCTACAACCAAGTTACAACTTGTTAAAGATTCCTGGAATGGTCGAAGATCCAGGACAAACTCAGCAAGTGTGGGTAAAGCTGCGGTAGTACCGACTCAACAGGCTATTATGGAGCTGACAGAGCTCCAGAAGGATCTTACGCACAAGGTACTGGCTAATGATGAGTGGTTCGAATCGTCATTAGAAAGACTGTGGCGAGCAGTTGGTGGTAGATCAGGGGAAGAAGCATATGACCGGACTTGCGTGGACTGGGTAAAGCTTGGATTTCAGAATGCTAGTCCTGAAACAGATTTCAGAGGAGGGGGCGTGTTAGCGATGAAGTGTCTTTTGTACGCTTTTGAAGGACATCCAATGGAGATGAGAACAATCCATTACGAACAAATGCCGGATGTGAAAGACACAAAACATGTTAAGAGATGGTATCCCGTTTGTGTTGCTGGAATCAACTTGACGTGTCTTTTAGCTGGTTTAATACAACTCGGAGACGGAAATTTCAGTGAAAAGAAGGCAGTGTTTTGGCCTCTATTTGAAGAGCCTGCTGCTTTTCATGAGCTCTTTTATTTGGGTACGCGATTGTTACGAACATGCGGCTTACAATCAAACTGATTCACTACCTTTTTATCAGCATTTATCAAGATGAATGAGATTTGGTACCGCTTAAATGCTACCTATATGGAATTTGGTGGTATGAACATTATGTGATGTGGTATAAACAATTTGTATATTAACGTATCTTTGTTGTTTGCAGTGGTGCTCAAAGCGACACGCAAGGTAGTTGCTCATATATTAGAGCAGGCACCCACTTCATTAATAGAGCTACACGAAGCTAGCAATCAGACACTGGTGGAACGCTTTGTTGTAAGTCTATCGACTCGTTCTCTTGCGGAGTGGGAGGGAGGTGAATGCCCAGACCCGTTCCATACGCTTGAGGCAGAAGATTCTCTTGTGATTGCGAAGACTCGACCAACTTCCAAGTCCGAGTCCTCGTCTAAAAGCCATTTGTTTTGGCCTTTGCACTGAGAGAAGATTGTAATGATTATCTTTGACAACATTTTTATATTTTTACTGTGTATACTTGAAGCTGATCAACCAGCCAATAAGGCAAGCAAGTGATGCCTCAGCCTTCGAGTTAAAGACTGCACTATAGCTACACTGATCAGGAAACAATTTCGACAAGGATACATCAAATATTCAATTAGGATGTAAATTTAGTTTCATTTGCGAATATAATAGAGTTATGACAAGCTCTAAACAAAGCTCTGACGAAGGTTTTCTTTAGCAATCGAGAGGGATGAGACACGATGATTGCTCGCATCACTCAAGTGCCCCATCTCTCCATTAGCAGCAGTTTTTGCATCCAGATTTTGAGTCAAGATCTTTGTGTGTTTTGTAGACTTTGATATCGCCACGTATATTGAAGTCGCAGACAGGAGACAGGCCGCAATTGCCAGTGCAATGGACGCAGCCAAAGGAGGTCCGTATGTCTTGCTTATGAGACCAGATTCTGAGTCCCTAGATCCTGCAATAGCAGTCGTGCAGCGAGGACCACCCCACGATTCGTACAAGCATTCACAACGCTTGTTGACACATTTGCCCGTTTTTAAAGCCGTTCTAGCAAGTGTACCCCCGATAGTACAATCGTCACTGGTTCTACAAGATGCTTTTCCTGCGACTTCAATCACCTTATTATCATTGTCTTCGTACTCGTCAATATGCCCATTGATCCACTCTTTCGTTGGGTGAGTCGCCGGGTCACACTCGGTTGTCATGTAATTATCCGGTTCGAGATCGTCACCCAAATCTTGGTACAAACGAATGTAATCGATTTTGAGGTACATGGGAAAAGCGTCACAGATTTTGTTAGTAACATCATCGAGACCATCGCCACGACATTCTCGACCTGGATTTGGGGGCATAGCACCCCACGAACTTGACAATGCCACGTTAAAAATTACATACAGAGGTTCTTCAATCATAATCTTCTTGGGATTTGAGTTTTTGGTGTCTTGTGGTACATTTTCGATCACATCCGATGTGATTTCGAACAATGGTTCACCATGGAGTAGCCAACGCACGTACCCATTTTTTCCCGTAACCCATTCAACTTGGTATTCGTAATAATTTGTATACGCACCGAAATGAATAGGCCAATTGGCTGAAAGAGCATCCATTTGATAATTAAATGGACTCATGACACCGGACGGTGGTGTAGCTTCGTCACGAGGATCGGCACACATTGAGAACATATTGTCAGGGTCACACAGGTACGATCCCATATATGAATTGATTAATGGATAACATGTACCATTCGAATTGATGCCCCAATGCGCATCCGTCCTGTTATCAATGAAACTTAAATCAGAGTGCACATCTCCCGAAGCTGGACACGTATCAACCGAGCAAAAGTTCTCAGTGATTCCTTGCTCTAAAGAGTTCTCAATAGTCTCGTATGATTGTTTGGCGTCATCATTAGGGGCACAATAATTATTCGCTGCATACCGTAGTCCTTGGTACCAGGATTTGTGTCCACGTTCTCGTTGGTAGTAGTCCGTAGGTACATCAATGTAATTTGCACCCAATGTCTGACAAGAAAATCCATACAGACAATATATCGGGTCGCCAAGTGAGGTATTAACATCAAAAAGACGATAATTCTTCGGCATGCCAGGACCAATCTGTATGGACGACGAGATGGCGACACCACCACCTTCGAGAATATCAATCTCAGGTGCTCCACGACCTTGATTCGGGTTCAGTCCGTAACCTGGATTGTCGTCACATGCGCTAATGCGCTGGTAACTAGGTTCAAAAACGTCTGGATCACATTCATTGTATGTAAAGGGCCACATACGATTCGTTGAGGCCGAGAAAATAGCACGACCGAGGTTTCCAAGCATCCAAATACCAGGCCACGTTGGATAAAATCGATTAGCCGATGTCTTACCAGATGGTCCAAGTGCAATATCAGGATTGCCTGTCTCTGGTGTGACGGCACCAGGTAATTGTGCACGTACTTCGAGCATACCCCCTTGATAACAAAATTTATTCCACGATTGTACCATACCCCCACGATACCAAAAGTACACGTCGTTAAAACTTGGAGGGTGTGTATACATGTTATAGACATTAATTTTCGTCACTTCATCAATGGTTTCAATGTAAAAGTAGCAAGTGCCATCGTCGTCACAAGCTGTAGATGTCATATTATGCGAATAAATCTCAAGAGCACCATTGACACCGTCGGGTTTTTCTAACGACGTCCACATATGGTCGTCACCAGCCCGAAAGCTGCGATTTGGAACGTTAAACTCGTCACTCATCGTAAGGTCCCATCTTCTCCCTCGAGAAGAATAGTATACATAATCTTTCTTGGGAGTATCGGTATCAACCCACGTTGGAATTCCCGATTTCGTTGGATACGTCATGGCGTCTAAGGCGGAAACGATACCAGTCATAATGGACGACCAGAGCGTGAGACCACAAACAAGAGTCATGGGAGAAAAGTGCATGTCCATCTTGGTGACCTTTTTTGTTTATGACCTTTTTTGTTTATGACCTTTTTTGTTTGATGAGGTCTGTACCGTAAAAGCGTGTGCGGCAGGGAGTGAAAAGACCAAATGAAGCTGCTAATTTTACTAGCGACATTTTGCAAGAGCCGCAACCCTATGATTGGTCTAGGTTTATCTTAAAAAAAATCAGTTTTTCATGTATTGGACACACTAGTTGACCGAAAAATATTGTTTATTGCCTTATCCATCCTACAACATTGCGACAATAGGTGGCGTGCGGCAAATCTACAGATGCAATCGTGAGAATTCTACACATTCATACAATTGAATTCCTGTTGCTTTGAATTGCAATAATTATATGACGATAAAGAATATTGTTCTCAATCAATACAAAACAAGCATGTTTCAACTCACACGATTTGAATCAAATTACACTTAGACATGGAAGCCACCAAAAGAGATTCCAAAGCAAAACAAGAGTCGATGGCTTGAAGCAAATGTTTTGCTTCTCCATCAAAATTACCTTATGTTTCGTCTCGACGAATTGACAGCGTTTATTCTTTTCTGTGTTCGGCTGTCGTGTTCCCCTAATGTGGTCAATCAATAGCCTCAAATCTTTCATGTGATTAGTATTCTAGTCAATCAAATCATTGCGACCACACGATAGCAAACAATTTATCTACAAACTGTTCCCATCCATTTGCTCATACTTTCCACTCAAAAACGCGTTAGATGTGCTAGAAACCACGAACAGACTCTGGTCTGAATTATATTCGACAAGTCCTTACCACAAGATACCTTTCTCTTCTTCTATTTTGCCGTCGATGGGTCAATGTATTTAAATATTTATGGTGTGCGTATACAATTCACTTTTGTGTAAAGCTTCAGTACCAAAATACCCGTGGGACACATGGGTTGCAAGCTTGATGTAATCTTGTACATAAAAGAGCAGAAATATTAGGTATTCGTTAGCTATAAATATAAGTCACACCAAAACAGAAAATATTATTGTGTACATGAACCTAAGATTGTATTAGAATTGTACAAAATTAGCATTAAACTTTAAAAACTGTGAATATCCATAAGTACCGAAGAATCGGTATAAATAAAAATGAAAGGACAGAGGTTGTGTCACAGTGGGCTTCGTCGAATAGAAAAGACACTTTATTACGAAAAATAATGAATCGTATACATTCAGTTCAAATTAAAATCAATCCTGGACATTTGTGGGAGCAGACTTTCCAGTCGAAGCTTCGTTTGTGAACAGTACATGTTG